TCATAAAAGTGACAATATTCGTATTATTGCTGAGGATACGGTAAATACGTCTAATGTTAGGTTAAAAGTTTCCGATATTAGTGGATCTCCGCTTGTTGATGTCCCTACGCTTAATAGTAACTTAACCGCGTGTGACCCTTCGACGTTTGTGCTACAGGGTGTTAACGTAGCTTCTACAGACTGTCATTCTCCTCAGTATAATAATAATAAATCTCATTTACAACAAAGACCTATTCTAGGTATTTTGATTTTGGGTGTTCATGGAGCGGCACTAATCGACACAGCTGCTAAACGGTCAGTTGCTAGTTGTTCTTTGTTCAATATATTAAAGAAAAATAATTAATCTTTTTTAAAGAGGCCTATGTCCATTAAATTAGCAGACGGGTCTGTTCAGAATGGTATTGTGCTCACGACGACTGTAGATGTTGTCCTAAAACATAAGACCGTGCCACAAGAGTTTGTTGTATTACCAGATGCTTCAGGTAATGATACCTTACTAGGCATCGATTTTTTGATAAAAGCCGGTATGTCACTGGACTTCGCAACTGCAAAGTGGCATTTCTCTGAGGAACAGGTAATGTACCCTTTAGAATTTGAGTCGTTGAATAAGCAAGTTAGGTGCGATGGCACGATGAAGGCCTCATGTTGCACCCTAGCCAACGTGGTAAGTTAGCAGATCTCTTAAACGCTAATCAAGATATTTTCAATGCAGGGGGAGCACCAACCCCTTTCGCAGAACATCGTATTGACACACAGCTGGACATGAAGGCGTTGAACGCACGTTAATTCGCATTCGAAACCAGTACTATTTTACCGGTATGCGTAAGTATGTTACCGAGTACCTTAAACATTTTTCAGAATGCCAACGTTATAAAATTACGAATCAGAAACCAGCTGGACTCCTGCAGACTTCAATCATGCATCAGCGCGGAGGAGTACTTTCTGTAGACCTCTTCGGCCCTCTTCCGAAAGGAGAACAAGGTGAGACCTGGGTACTTGTCGTTGAAGATGCTGCTACTCGCTGGATGGAACTCTATCCGCTTCTTGATGCATCTGCAGAAACCATTGCTCCAGTCCTTATCAACGAGTATTTTTTGAGGTATGGTTTTCCAGGCCGTGTAGTTTCGGACAATGGTGTCCAATTTGTTGCCGCAGTTATGCAACAGTGTAGGTTTGTTCTTGGAATCAAACAAAATCTTATTCCATTGTATCATCCGCAGGCAAATGCCGTCGAACGGAAGAACCGGAACATAAAAACACAATTGTCGTTTCTTGTCAAAAACGAGCGTGCATCTGGGCCGAAATACTTACCATGTATTGGGTTCGCAATGAACAGTGCTGTTTGCACAACCACTGGCTCTACTTATTGAATATATATACTTATTAAGTACAAACATTGAATATATTCAATGTTTGCCCGGGAAATGAGAACTCCTCTTGAGACTCGAGCTGAATGAGATAGTTTTTGGATAGTTAGATAGATAGAAAGACCGTGTTGAAAATGAACAAGATAGACAGAAAGATTTGGCTGATAATAAATTTAGGCAAGTACCGGAATATAACACATGGTAAAATAAATTAGAGTGCTTTGGTATTCTTTTTCGTTTTTTAGTTTTTTTTTCGTCACGAAACTGAGTTCTATTGAGAAGAACGATAGCGAAATTACAGTAATGGATATACATTCAACCACATCATTAGAAGTTCAGCAGACAATTAATGTGCCTGGAAAAACAATCACATTTCTTTTAGCAATATAATCGTCCTAACATGTCAAATATTACCTCGTATTAATACAAAGCCTCAATAACGCTCGGCCTTGTAACTCATACTCGTCCAGCAATCACTTACTTCTCGACCTTTGCAGTAATATACTAATTTTTGGCACTAAAAGAGATAACATGGTGAAAATAATATACTTCATACAAGTTCCGTAATAACTATCAAATTTGTTCTGATTGAAATAACCAAATGCAACGAAGTGCATCGCTGCGTTATTTTAGAGTCAAAATAAAAAATGAAATTTATTATTATGGATGCTCTGAGTGGCACTGTTTATTAATTTCTTAAATATGACGAGAATGCAAACCAACACACTGTATCGACGAAAACAGTTTTATATACATTTAACGAATACGGAAACTATACTATATAATACAAATAATTCTTTATTCTTTATTTGCATCAACCATAATACAGTATTAGGATGGAAAAACTTAAATCTAGGTTACAGTTCATTATGGACCCTGAAGGGCACAGCAAATTTTAATTTTAATTGGAGAGGGGAGGCTTTACCTTTTAGAATTTATTAATCTTATATGTTAAAATAAAAATAAAAGTAGAGTTTGATGTTTCACTAAATTCAGTAGAATATAATTAAATTAAATTTTGTCTGTTAATATAAAAAAAAAAGTTGAATACATTTATAATTTCTATTTTTTATGATTTATTTTTGTAGTTTTAGGCCGAAAATTTGTCGTTAAAATATTCTTGTACAGAATAATAACTTTTTTCTATCAATAATTTTTTTACTTTCGTCATAAAACATTTTTCATTTGTTTCATCCTTGAAAGAATTGGGCAATTTATTAAATATTTTTACTGACATCACTAGGGGACTATTTGAATGTAAAGTCAATCGCGAGGTAGGTAACATGAGCCTGTTATTATGTCGAAATGTGAATCCACAAGATATATCTTTCCGCTTAGTAAACAATTCTGGGTGTTTCTTTACGAATTTACAAATTTCGTATATGTAAATGCAAGGCAAAGTTAAAATTTTGAGACTCTGGAAGACAGGTTTACAGGTGTCTGTTGGTTGTATATTTGCTATTATCCTAATTAGTTTTTTTTGCGAGGTCAGCAAATCTGTGGCGTCCACGCTGTTTCCCCATAGCATAACGCCGTAAGTGAGCCACGAGTAGGCATACGCGTAGTAAGTCACGAGTGCTGTTGATTGGTCGGTGGATTTTTTTGTTTCGCGAAGAGCGTAGGCAAATTTCGATAGCTTTGACTTTAAGCTTTCTAAATGGGATTTCCAGTTTAAGTGAGTATTATATTATATTGTATTATATTGTTTCACAGTGCACTATTACGTCACACATTCCAGTCCGGGGGCCTGATTCTCGCGTGACAGACGTAAAAATCGACGTAAACATATGTATATGTCGAAAAATCGACAATATGTCGAGCGCCCTTATTCTCACGACTTCTGAATAGACTTTTGTTTATTATTTTTTACTCGACAATTTCGTTGACATGTCGACTGGTGAACATCATTTGTAATGTATTCGACTTGGCAAACGACTTTTATTTTGACAGATTCATTTGTGGTTTCAGCGCAAATGTCGTCGTATATCATTTATGTAATTTAAAAAATTTCATTTATTTTGTTATTATGTAGTAATTCAAATATATAATACTATATAATACAATTGGCTTATACTTTGACTATACTGCGAATGGAATTAAGTAATAGAATTTCAAAATCTTTCAACCCAGTGTCTCTATTGACAACAAGAATACGAATGTTTTGAATTAATAGAGATTTTAGTAAGGAATCTATTCTTAGATTCTCTCAGATTTTTAAAATTATATCTATTTCGACTTTTGTCGATTAACATGAAAGTCTAACGACAAAAATGTCGATCGACTCCAAAATTTCAATTCTCACATACTTCAGACATAAATCTCGAACGTCCGGAAATATCTATAAGTATTTTATTGAATCATGTCGGCAGCATTGCAATACTGACATATTGAGAGGTGATTGACATTAAAGTGACATTTGTAGGCAGACACATCTGAATAGTAAATTGAACAGTGAACGAAGATATTTAGCGCATACGTAAATAAATGTAATTTTTTTAAACAGAATAAATTTATCTTTATCTTTATTTATTAGGTGTATGTACATAATAATTGTCTTCATTCACTGTTCAATTTGAATTACTACATAATAACAAAATAAATGAAATTTTTTAAATTACATAAATGATATACGACGACATTTGCGCTGAAACCACAAATGAATCTGTCAAAATAAAAGTCGTTTGCCAAGTCGAATACATTACAAATGATGTTCACCAGTCGACATGTCAACGAAATTTTCGAGTAAAAAATAATAAACAAAAGTCTATTCAGAAGTCGTGAGTATAAGGGCGCTCGACATATTGTCGATTTTTCGACATATACATATGTTTACGTCGATTTTTACGTCTGTCACGCGAGAATCAGGCCCCCGGACTGGAATGTGTGACGTCATAGTGCACTGTGAAACCAGAAGCAGCAGATGAGATTGGTACCTACCCACTTTTTTTTATTATTATTTTATAAGTATTATAAATAACAAGAATTTAGTCACGTTAGTTAGTCTTTCTTATTATTTTATTTGTTTCGTTTTCAAATTGCCATTTATTTGCCTAGATGGTGAATGTCGGTGTACGGTCAAATCAAAAATGGTTTTTGTTACACAGTAAGCAGCCTAGATTTGGTTTTATTTTTGTTCCTACTTCTTAATATAATAATTATTTAATAAATAAATATTTAGATTTTCTGTAAACATTATAGATGCATCCATTTTCTACCCTGGATGCTGCGACAGGCCATTAAAATATTCCAATTTCAATAGAGAAGACGGCTTCTCCATACCGCCAGTTTGTTACGAATAATCTTTTGAGGTATTTTAATTACTAATTTCTGTAACTATAATTTAGAATAAGGTGGTTTGCATTAATATTGGACTGAATAATAATAACAACTGGTTGATGACTTTACCAACTCAGATCTCAGTCAGCCAAGACCACGGGAATGGTTTTATTTTTATGTTCTTTTTTTGTTTGAAAAACAAATATTCGCGATTTAGATACTATATAATATTATTATTAATAATTACGGACTAGGTTTAAGTAGAAAAGAAATCACGTGATTGTGTCAAGAACATAAGAACGTTCTGTACAAGTTTATTCAATATTGAAATTCAAGCTGTAATCTAAAGGCACCAGCAACCATTATATACATGTACCATTTCCTCTAATCTGTGTCAACACAATCGTCTCCCACTTGTATTACCTTATCTGTCACCAGTACCGCCGTTCTCTTTTTTAGGGTTAGGAAAAAAGTACACTAACAACGCGAAACCTGAAATTAAAATACAAATTCATTTAATATATTAACTATAAAGCCGCGGCAGCCTAATAGCTTAACCTACCGCTTCTCAAGCAGAGGCTGTGGGTTCGCATCATCACTGAGTTTCTCGGAATTTACGTGCGAAATTTGATTTGAAATTTACCATGAGCTTTTCGGAGAAGGAAAACATTGTGATGAACCCTGCACTTCGGAGATGGTTTACAACCCTCGGAAATCCAAAAGATTTCTCGGTTCTCAAAAAAGCCAAAAAATCGAGATTCGTAAAATTTTCGTGACCGAAATAAAACCTTAGTACGTACATTATAAAATTACTAACCAAAGTCGGTCATTTACACTGTAAAATATGTGCAAACCAGAGACCGACGTAACCTCTAAATGGCTGTTGGTAAGTAAGATATTCACGACATTTAAGGTGTATATTTCGTATATTTCGTCTCGTTCAGTACTTACGGACAAAACAGTTATTTTCATCGGTTTCCAATCAGAATTTCAAGGTTTATGTTCGATATACAGTCTTTCAAGTTATGAATTGCGTATGTGGTGTAAAAACTGATGTAAGAGGCAGTAAATGTTTGGAAATATCTTCTTGCAACGTCCTTCTTTCAGACCGAGTACTTATGTTTGTATTGCAGAATTTGTTAAGTATTTATTGTGTGTTATTAACAGTAATCGGAATTAAGGGAATTAATTTAGGTTAACTTTAGAATAACATGGACATTCCCTTCTATAAATCCCAGAAATTCTGGGAATTGATTATATTTAAATATACTTATTATTTATTGAAATTTGAGTACACTTGGCGACAAATTGTTATTTCCTAATAAGTATTTGCTACAAATTATTGTCTCAAAAAATAATATTGTAGTTGTGGTTCTGTAGGCAATTAAGTATTTAAATATTTTAGCAATTTAAAAAGTAAACATGACACAGTCTATGTTAAAAATGTTTAGAAAATAAATTGTAAAAAAAAAGAAATTTTATACGCATTGATGACGAAATGGGTATGTCCGTACTAAGAACGTTCATACTTTAGGTAAATTAACACCCTCAATTCCGATCACTGGTCGTTAAAGTTTCTTTCTTACTTACTCCAAGTAACAACAATCAAAGTCAAGAAAGGCACCATACAACCGGTATTTAACATCAACGGGAACAATATATTTCCCAGCAACGATCCAATACGACCAACCATTATGACTAATGACAGCGCCATAGTTCTGCAATCAGATTAGTGAGCAAATTAGTTTCGAAAGCTTATTATTAATGCATTGCTTAATCCGCTTGTTTGTCGAACTAATGAAGATATTTCAAACCAACACTCATTTGTATGAGGATTCCATTCGGCTTTGAGGGATTTCCTACACAAAAGAGCGATGCCACAAGACGCCTGAACGGTGACGCTGCGTTGTACTATAAACAAATTAGAACTACATGTCACGTGGTGCGTCGAAATGGAGATGGAATGCGTGCGCATTGGATAAGGGTTTAGGAGACGAAGCGGGGAGGGGTGCTGCAGTGCGTAAGAGCGATGCCACACGAGCGCTGCCGATGCGTTGCGTCATCGCAACGCCATGTTTTCAAAGGACCCAGTGCCACACGAGCAATGCGGTGTCAGAACGTAACGCCCGCCACCTACTTACGTACCACAGCATCCCTGCCTGCTTCGTCGTGCAAGCTTTCCTCGCCACGTCCGGTTTCAACGCACCATGTGGCATATAGTTCTGATTTATGACACCGATCACGCGTCTCAACGCCGACGCGACGCATCGGCATCGTCACTTACGCTGCGACACCACATTGCTCGTGTGGCACTCGGTGCGTTGAAATCATAGCGTACCGGCAACGCCCGTGTGGCATTGCCTAAAGGCACTCACTCAGTCATTCAAGCGCTCCGTGTTCGCATTTTGCGTTTTGTGTTTCGCGTTTCGCCTTCTACGTTCTTTATAACGGTGACCTATGCTACAGACGTTCCGACCGCGACTGTGGCACTCAGCAAACAAAAGTAAATGTAAAATTGTGTAAACTACTGCTGTCTGCAGAATCAATAAGGAAATGTCAATTTACAACAACTAAAACTCAGGAAATTAAACGGATTTTCAACTACGCATTAGACCTGTACAAATATAAGTTCTGTGCTCTCCAATTACAATACTAATTTGAACCAAATATAAATTACCTGACAGATGTAGGAAATACACGAACAAGAATGCTGTGCTGTAGACTAAAAGCCGCTTGCATAAATCCGCACGTAGCAGATATCATTATGGCTATTTGCAAAGACGAATTGGTCCAGTAAAGTGCACCTGCACATACGCCGCACAGTAGCAAGAATACAAATATTAGCGGCTTCTGGCCAAAAAAGTCTACTAGACTACTTGATAAAATAATACTTAGTAAAGAAACGAAACCAAGTATTAATCCGTTTGTATAGGTTTCTGTTCCAGCCAGTTTCTGTAACAAAGTAAATATGTACTTATTGATTACAAAGTAAATATATACTAAAATAATCAATAGTAGCAAAGATATTATTATTATTATAGACAAGCACATTTGATATAATAGTCTCATAACTATTATAATCTCTGAAAATCACAAATTGCAAACACAATATTAAAATGTGTACCTACACTTTGAAATATTATTATTATAGACAACCACATTCGATACAGTACCAGTACCGTAACTAGTTTAAACAACCGAAAACTACAAATTGCAAACACAATATTAAAATGTGTACCTCCACGTTAAGAAATTATTATTATATTCAGAAACCTTCGATATAGTACTACTACCACAACTAGTTTAAATAATTGAAAACGACAAATTGAAAATAGAATATTACAATGTGTACCTACACGTTAAGATTTTATTATTATAGACAGGCACCTTCGACATACTACGACTACCAATAACTATTTTAAACCACCAAAAATTATTTGAAAACAGCGAAAATTATAAATTGCGAACAGAATATTAAAATATGGATTTCAAATTACCGTACCCCGAGAGTATCGCAAATGTGCATCATTTCCAATTCACAGTTTAATTATAGCTACTGAATACGTCATCAATTTTGAAACAATTAGCTTTTAATAAAATACCTTTGATTCTATGTATCTAATAACACGTTTTCATGTTATTTTAATGATTCTGGAAGCTATTAAAAAAATATAACATTCTGTTCTTAGGTTTTCGCGAGTAATACACAGGGCGCACTATTAGTTTCCGGAACTGGCCACTCACATAAACAATATTTAAAAAGTAATTACAACATTTGAAAATGGAACTCTTTGGCTGTAGAATACAGTTTGTTTCATCTGACTGTCACTTGTTTTTACATTGTGGCGACATTTTAGAAATTGGTTGTCACCTTGGACTTAACTCGTGAAAATTTTCGTAGTATGATTTTCTACCACTTTAAGTGTAATTTAACAGCTCAGCGGAGCTTCACTCGGCTTCAAACTGCTTTTGGCGATGAAGCACCATGCAAGACGACTATTTATAGCTGGTTTACAGAATTCAAACGCGATCGTGTGAATATCAACGACGAATTTCGTGATGGTCGACCGTCCACTGTTGTGCTCAACAAAAACATCGATGCTGTCCGCCGTATGATCAAAACAGACAGACATGTGACATACCATGATATTCGGGCATCTTTAGGCATAGGCATGAGTTAAATACAGTCAATGCTACACAAACATTTGGGAGTGAAAAAGCTGTGCTCTCGGTGGATCCCACACAATTTGACTGAGGCTTTAAAAACGGATCGCATCACTTGGTGCAATGCTATGCTTACCAGATTCAACGAAGGGGCGTCAAATTTGGTGTGGGACATAATAAAAGGTGACGAAACATGGATTTGTAGTTACGATCCCAAACCAAAGCAGCAATCGAGCGTAAGGGTCTTTCGAGATGAGCCGAAACCAACCAAAGTGGTGCGCGTGCAAAGTGCCTCTAAGTGGATGATTGTTTCTTTTTTTTTAATAAAACTGGACAAGTGGCTACTGTTGCTTTGGAGAATCGTTGTACCGTGAATAGTGATTGGTACACGACCATTTGTTTGCCGGAAGTTATTGACAAACTCCGTAAATATAACCGGCGTTTACGCCGCACTATCTTGCACCACGATAATGCCAGACAGACAAATGAATTTTTGTCAATATTTTGAGAAACAATAATTTTTTTCTGACCATTTGCAGTGTTTTTTTCTTATTCATTCCGGAAACGTATAGTGCGCCCCACGTACGTTTCATTATTAAATATACGCGATTTAGCTATGAAAAATAATTATTAATACAAAGATCGAACACAGAGAAAAAATTATTCGGTCCGGCTGGATTCTAAACTGCGTCTTCAGCATACCAGGTAGACGCTCTTCCTTCCTACCTTTAAAAAAAATAGTGATTTGTCACCGATGGCGCTACGGTAAAACCAAAGTTGTTAGAAAAAAAGAAAACCAGAGATCTACTACAAGCACATTGAAAAATTCGTTAGGTCTGCTGGTTCGTTCCGTAGCTTTGTTGGGAGAGCGTTGGCCTGGTATGCTGAAGACGTTGGTTCCAATCCAGCCGCATTGGATGAATTTTTCTCTGTGTTCGATCTTTATATTAATAATTATAACAAAGCAGTGGAATTACTTCACAAAATAAATTATTGAATATCATAGTAGCAATACATCGTGTAAGTCAATGAACTTCATATTTCGAAATTTCATTTCCAATAATATATACATATAACAATATCCTGTTTACCATCATCATCATCAACCCATTTATACGTTCCAATGCTGGACACGGGTCTCCTATTAGTTTTAGGTCATTGTTCGCCATTTTCTAGTGAGGCCAGTGGTCAGGGGACGGTCACACGGTCTCACCTGTCTGGAGGGATGGGTCAAGAGAGTCGATTCTCCCGTCTCAAGTGCGGGAATCCTGGTGGAAGTGGTCATTGTGGTGAATTTATGGCGTCTCACGGCGCCCACAACACACTTTTTCCGGGGGTTGTGAACTTTCTTCGACGTGCAGGTTATGAAAAGTGCACGTTATAAAGTAATCAAACTGCATCGTTCGTAGGAACGTAATTTTTTTACAGCCGTGGTAGCCTGATTGTTAAGCCTACCGCAGCAGAGGCCGTGGGTTCGCTAAAAAGCAGTCGCTAATCGTACACCTTTACACACGCGCGCGGTTTTAAGAAGCGATGCAAATGCGATGCCAGCGCGCGACTGCATCAATGCAAACGCGCGGTTGCACATGTAGGCGATATCGCGCGTTTGTATCGATGCAGTCGCGCGTTTCACAAACATGCGTTTGCATCAGCTAAAGTCGTCGTTAGTAACTAATCTAATCCGGGCTCGCACCTCTGAGGTTTCAGAATTAATGTGCGAAATTTAATTTTAAATTTACTATGAAATCGAATCAGTAATGAGAATATCCGCAAGGGAACCAGAGTAACCGACATAGGCCGGGCATATTGCTCGCAGAACAGATGGCCGATGGGGCCGAAGAGTCCGCGAGTGGCGACCATGTACCGGTAGATGCGGTGTGGGCAGACCACCCACAAGGTGGACTGATCTGGTGAAAGCGGCAGGAATCCGCTGAATGCAAAAGGCGCAGGACAGACCGTTGTGGCATTCTTTGGGGGAGGCCTATGTTCAGCAGTGAACGTCTTTTGGCTGAAATGATGATGAATGTAGTGATGAAACCTTACCAATTTCTGCCGCCAAGCAGTAATGTGCCTGTGTTCTGGTTTGGCAGGGTAAGGGTGCTGGTGAAATGCAATTTCACACAGATGGTACTCGTCGATTTGTGTCTCAGGATGACGGGCGCAGTGGTAGTGTCTCAAAGATTTTTGCGATTTAAAGGCCAAAAAGGCTCACCAGCAAGCGCACGACTTGTTCGTCTCGTCACTTGGTATTATAAATAAGACTCTCGGAAAACGTTCGAAATCGACAAATCCTCGCAAAAGAGGAAACCCGTACCCAGCAGCGGGACAAATAAATGGGTTGATGATGAAAATTATTCCCAGTTATAGCAACACTGGGGGAGGCCTATGCCCAGCAGTGGGCGTCGTATGGCTGAATGATGATGATGATGATGATAGCAACACTGAATAATATTTGCCATTTAAAAACTGTCACTTATATGTATAAATGTTAATAACTAACAACAATGTTATTATTATTTTTACACTCTTCACAAAAAACACCATAAATAAAAATCAATGTCAATTCTATTACCAAGCTTACACAATCTATTATAATACGAGTCACACTCTCACTGGCGTTAAACCCTATTTGACTCGACTAAAGTATATATTAAAACCCCTCGATACGACCTGTCACGGAAAACGATTTGGGAGGAATAGGTTAAAACATTTAAGTATGTAACTACAGTCAATAAATATGCAAAAAAGTGAGATCATGCATAAAAAAGTAAGACCACGCATATGCAAAAAAGTGAGATCGTGCGTATTTCATAAACCATATCACAAAGGCGCTTTTTTAGGTTCTAAACCAAAATTCTATTGTCTATGGTACACTTACTTCTGAACTTATGGTACACTTAGTTCTGTATACACAAAAGAAAAAGTAAGATTAATTTGACTGAAAGCAATTATTTAGTGTTATTTACTTTTAAACACCTGAAAAATATGTCACGCCTATTTCACGTCGATCACGCCGCCGCCGGTTTAATCAAATCAACATTGACAATCATGGTTCGTAATACAATAACAAGTATTCAAGTGTACTCAGTTCCATCAAGTTTTACAAAACGTAAATAAAAAAGTAAGAACCAAAAAGAGACCAAGCATTAAACTAAAGGTCTGTTCAGACATACGTGTTATTCTGTAGTAGCGAAATCCGAGTGGCTACGCCGTATTCCCACTGTTCGCATCTAAGTGGATACCTATCGCTGCCGTTACAGGTAGCGAAATTCATTATGTTTAGTGTGTCTACTAATTGTTACTGACTTGCGCAGAGGGACGAATTTACCATAAAATTGTTAGTAATACTCAAAATGACTTACTGGTACACAAATTTCTAACTCAGTAACGTTTGCACTCTGCATTACATTTCTTGATGTATAGTCGTCTATCATGACACAAAACTGGTTCTGACGCCCATAGTTTTCTTTTTGGTAATTTTCTATCATAGTAGAGAGCTGAGGGAACCACAATCGAAGTGCACTATAGCTGAAAATGAAAGAATAACGAGTTCTTAACTTTTTCTGATTACGCTATTGGAAATAGTGTCGTAAAAAACTCGAATCCAGGAGTCTACATTTATTAACTCGACTCAATTGTGCACGGCTCGGTGACCTAAAACACTCACGAGTCCGAGTCGTGGCGAACGCGAGTCATAAGAGCATAAACTCGAGACTTACAGTGGTGGCTCATATTATTAGAGCCACTTGCAAAATTATTAAATTTCGAAATTAATATGCTTTATTTTATTTCAAAAATAATTTTTAGCAAGTTTATTTTTTAATAGTATGAAATAGGTGTATCCGTTAGTTAAAAAATTATACCTGGCAATACTGTGAGTGCGCCATCTGTTGCATAGACACCATTTTATCATAGACAGTCAGTCTGTGTGTCAGTTGACGTTTGCTAGCCACGTTGTTTGGGTGAGTGTTTTTGAGGTTAATTTGTTGTTTAAGGTTAAAATTGTGTTTCTTTTTATGTTTATAATAAGGTAATGTATTCAACAAGTATATTTTAAATGGTTTTGCTCCGAAATAATAATGTTTTTTTTTTATTATTATGTAATTTTTTTGCAGTGTAAATTTATTAAAATGGGAAAAGCTAAGGACCTCTCTCCAAGGAAAATTTCCGAAATAAAAACTTTATTGCAGCATACCAAACATTCACAAAGACAAGTTGCAATAATTAGCAAGGTATCGAGAGCATCAGTCGACCGAATAAAAAAAAAACTCGTTGAAAATATTGCGTTGACACCAAAACGCGGCCGCAAATGCGGGCGCAAATGCGGCCGAAAAAAAATTACTACACCACGTGACATGAGAAAAATTAGGGAAATTTGTGTGGAAAATAGAAAGGCCCCTCGCCAGATTCTTACAAAGTTGGTTCAAGAAGCTGGCGTCAACATTTCCCTTGCCACAGTTCGTCGGCGCGTTAAAGACTTGGGCTTCACTTGTCGCCGACCAGCTAAAAAACCACTTTTGACTCCAGCTATGAAGCAAAAGCGCCTCAAATGGGCAAAAGAACATAGACACTGGACTGCCGATGACTGGAATAAAGTACTTACTTTTACCCATTTTAATAAATTTACACTGCAAAAAAATTACATAATAATAAAAAAAAACATTATTATTTCGGAGCAAAACCATTTAAAATATACTTGTTGAATACATTACCTTATTATAAACATAAAAAGAAACACAATTTTAACCTTAAACAACAAATTAACCTCAAAAACACTCACCCAAACAACGTGGCTAGCAAACGTCAACTGACACACAGACTGACTGTCTATGATAAAATGGTGTCTATGCAACAGATGGCGCACTCACAGTGTTGCCAGGTATAATTTTTAACTAACGGATACACCTATTTCATACTATTAAAAAATAAACTTGCTAAAAATTATTTTTGAAATAAAATAAAGCATATTAATTTCGAAATTTAATAATTTTGCAAGTGGCTCTAATAATATGAGCCACCACTGTAAAAGAAAAAAACTCAAACTCGACTCAAAACGACGTTCTCAGAAAATAAGCACTGTCACCTGCCCTCAACTAAAGGGTAAAGGTGCTGGTGAAATTACAGGCACATGGAACTTGTCCACTTATTAATCAGAACGTTGGACGCAGTGGCGGTGCCACTCATACCTTTGCGATTTAAAATTCCGAACGGCAACGCAATTTCTTCGGACAGGCGTGTCGCTTGTCACGACTTGTCAGTCCCGTTATTTGGTATCATACCCAAAAAAACAACGTTTCGAGCCCTTTTCAAGGCCATGGTCATGGTCGTCACGGCGCAGTCGCATGGGACCTGCAAAAGGCCCGAAACGTTATTTGTTTCTAGTAGCAGTAAAGCTCCTTGTGAAAGAGTCCGCCTAGGGAAGTACTGCCACCTTATGTATTTCTGCCGCCAACCAGTAACGTCAACATTACTGTATTCCGGTTTTCAAGGGTAAGGGTGCTGGTGATACTACAGGCACATGGGACTTGTCAACTTATGTCTCAGGGTGACGGGCGCAGTGGCAGTCAGATCTTTGCGATTTAAAGCTCTGAAAGGCACTGATACTGTTATGGACAGGCGTGTAGCTTACCATCAGGCGCACGTCACTTGATATTAATATGTAAAAAAAACAAATATAATTTCAAATTAAAGAATAATGCAAAGGTAAGCGTTAAATTATTGCTTATAACCTGGTA